ACTGAACCTCCACAGCACACTTTTTGACAACTATAAATACTTATTTAAATTTTTAGCGTAGGATCTGATTTTGTGTGGAATCATAATATTTTTTAGTTTTTGAAGTTGAGAGCTTAGAAATGAATAGAGAAACAATATTTCATTAGCTTAGAAGATTTGAAGATTTTCATTTCGAAGAAATTGGAAGTGGGTGTTGAAGATTCTTCATCTTAGACCTTTGTAAAGACTATATCAATCCTACCCAGTTGATGGAAACACAACTTGGTAACGATTTTTATCTTTTTACTATGTTTAGCTAAACCCCCAATTCTTGGGGTGTGATTATGGATTGATTTAACTGTTGGGTATTGTTAATTGATAGTTTATTTGTTGTTTAAAAGTGATTTCGTTCAGTAATTGTGGTTGAATTTAATGGGTTGTAGTTGCAAATATAATCTTAACTTCTTGTTTTTGGCTTGCTCGATAGAGAGGTTTTAAAACAAAAATTATTGAATCGATGGTCTGTGGGTATTGTGTTGTCATGGGTTCAGCTCAAGAGAGTGAATCCTAAACCCTTTTCCACACATTCAGCTCGAGAGAGTGAATGGACTAAAGCGAAGGTTGTGCTTCATTGCTGCTTATTAGTGTTCGAGAGAAACCAATTTGATTCGAGGTAAATTGTTTGAGAGAAAGTTTACCCCCACTAAAGTCTAGCTTATTCAACAATTTCTAGTTGTTTACTATTAATTACAATTACCCGGTTGTTTACCTTGGCCCATAATCCAATCACATCCCAAGAATCTCATCTCCATATTCATATTTTCATGTTATTTATTGTTTTAGTTGATAGTACAAACAAACCCCCTTTATATTTGACACTTGTGTCACCTATAATTTAAACCATGCTTTTATACGTAAATATTTTTAGCTATGATTGACTTGAGCATATTTATGTTTTTCTATTGATTCTTGAGTACGAACCACTCATTTGGGACTCGACCCCAACTCACTAGTTTGGTTATATTACTACTCACGATCGTTGGCACTTAGTATTGGATGAAGTGTCCTGATACGTGAAATCAACATTGCTCTGGTACCAAGTTTTTCACACCCCAAACTCAAGGGGCGCAACTGGCTCCTAATGCCAAAACTCAGGCTCGAGCCGACCCTATTGAATCATTTGCTACTAGCGCATAACAGCCACACGCAATCAAATAAACAAACAAGTATATCTCCGCTTAAAATTAAGCCTTCGGCTGGCAATGCCCCTGTCAACAGATCTATAAAAGAAACAGCTACTCCCAGGAGTTCATATAAAGAAATAGCCAACTAGCATAGAAGTCTGGATTGGGTCGTCGAGGCAACATGATCTCTATGCCAAAACTGAAAGCAGGTATATATCAGGACAATACATCAAACAACTAACAAGCTTCAGCAAACCAACAAACTAGGAAAGCATGGCCATAACGTAGCTATACACCACACACACTAGTCTACAAGCCTCTAAGAGTAGTAAAGATTGGCAGGACAAGGCCCCAGCCTACCCATAAAAATATATACAACAAAAGCTAACAAACCTCCCAACTCTAGAAGCTCTGAAGGAAAGGGGCTAGCCAATCGGATAAAAGTCAATCTTGCTACCGAGGAGGCCTACAGGGTCGTCTATCGGGACCTGCAGGCAAGAATGTAGTACCCCCACTCAATGGGGCTTCAATACAAAATAATATAGCGAGTATGAAAGGCAATAGACTATGAGCAGGTATCCTAACATACTAGGTGTAATCCGATAAATAAATCAAGGATAATATAAGTATACTAACATGCTCCCAAATCTAAACATATACAAAATAAATAAAAAAAACAACCTAACCAATCCCCCATAAGCTAGACAGGTACAAACATCACACTAGACCACCTACCCAGGCCCCCATAAGCCTCGAAGGTGCCAATCAGTCTATACACCTCTATCGATAGTCCCCTAGCCCCGTAGGTAGTCACATAGCCCTCTTAGGAAATAATATAACCCCGTAGGTAGCATTTAGCTCTCTTAGGCGTCAATATAGCTTATAGATAACTCGTAGCCCTCTTAGGCAACAACATGGCCCTGTAGGTAGCACAAAGCCTTCTTAGGCATCAATATAACCCCGTTGGCTACTCATAGACCTTCTAGGCATCAATATAGCTCTGTAGGTAACTCATAGCCCTTCTAGGAATCAATATAGCCTCGTAGGCAGAACATAGCCCTTCTAGGCATAGATCACATTCCTGCAGCTAACCACAATAGCTCCAAGGAAAACAATAACAATCCAATAAGCTAAAAGCAAGCAATTTATTTATAATCAACCTATACGAATAGCCTCTAAGTCGTTTCCAACATAGGGACGCTACTAACTAAATAATAATCCCGACAAAGGAGTATTATATCCACTCGAGCACCCAACAATCAACAATAATGGCTACAAGGATAACAACCCAATTACATTGCTCCTAAGCTTTAATAAAACATGTCGTAAGAAGAGAATAGCCTTAACATTTTTCTCTGAATTCATGTGGCCTAACAACTTTTACTCATAACCCCCTCGATACTACAACAGGACAGGACCATAATCAACACACAAGAATAGAATATACCACGATAATCCGCTTAAAGATATGTATATCCATCACAAATTGTTATTTGCAGCTGATCAAAGCTAGAGTCAATGAAAGAAGGGTCTTACCTTGATCTTAAATTCGTAATACACCTCAAAACCTTAAAATATGTCCAATCTCTTGATGTCCCAATGATATACCATGAGTTTACGGTATTTTTGATACAATTCACTTAAGAGTTGTGTATGTCTATGGCCATTTTGTATTAGAAATATATTTTTATGTGTATGTTTGCAGGAAATAGTCTTGGAAGCAATTAAGTGAGATGGCAGCTGAAAAGATGCAAAAGTAGCCACCCATAGAGTGCCTTACGAACTGTAGGTCCTCTGACAGTCCGTCGCTCGGTAGGCGTATATAGGAGCATTAGGGAATTCTAACCAAGTGTGGAGAAGTGATCTACGGACCATAGATTAACCTATGGGTCGTCCTGCACTCCGTCGAATGTGTTCAGAGAGTTGGAGTTCCAGTAGCTAATAAAAATTCTAAGTGTAGAGCCACAGAAGAAGACCCACGCACTGTAGGTCAGCCTACGGTCCGTCCAGCACGTCCGTCGTTGTTGATCTGAGAGTGAAGGTTCCAGCCTCTGTTGAAAAAGTTCTAAGTGTTGACCAACGGAAGGGACCTACGGACAATAGGTTGACCCACGGTCCGTAGGTTGAGTCATCAATTAAAGTCGCGTCCCAGAAGTTTATTTCCTTATTTTGTTTCCTTTTTGTTTAGGACATATTTTTCTATAAATAGGGTATGTAAACCTCATTTTAAGGGGTTAGACATTATTTTTTACTGTTAGGTATTGGTATTTTCTTTGGGAATTAACTTGCAAACTTTGGCAATTTGATTTTTAGATTTCGGTTTATAAGATTTTTGCTTCGAAATTTAATTGGAGATTTTGGGTTTCTTCTACTCTAATTGTAAGTTCATGAATTCTTTTTACCCAATTATGAATTGTGTTCTATCAAGCATGAGTATCTAAATCCACAACTAGGGTTGTGGGAACCATGAGCAATTAACAAAGTATGAATAATAATTAAGTAATTCTTGAATAGTGTTTATGCATGTATTGTTAATTCTTACGCTTAGAAGTCTTTTTAACGATGCGCAACGTTAGAATTTTCCTTGTTGCTACTTGCCGGACCAAGGAGGTAGTTAATGAGAAAAGAATTAACAACAGAGATTTAGTGGATGTTATCTAATAGTCTAATGTCAATTGGTGCGATGATGAAAACTAAGTCATACATTGATGTGATGTCTTATCTGAGGTAAAGGTAAGGGATAGTAAAGGATACACTCGTAGCCAGAACAAGGTGCATAGTGAAAATTCCATATTTGGAGGACCAATCACTTACGGATACCTATCTAACCAACTTTGCATGTAAAACACTAGGAAAGGATTACTATTATTTGGAGTACCGCGTTAAAAGCTTATGGGGAACACATACACCTTAATTTCTCTCTCATATTGATAACTTAAAGTTTGAATATTGCTCACTTGTTACTTAAACAAACCCTATATTATTTGCCTACAAAAATCCCCCCCTTTAATTACTTGTTTCGGAAATAGTTTGACTAAACGGATAAAATAGTGAGTTAAGTTTAAGTCTGAACCATATTCCTCATGGGATCGACCCCAACCTACAAGTTGGATTCTTTATTTGACGACAACATATTTCTTTAATCGAGGTGTAATTTGAGCGTATCAAATTTTGGTGCCAATGTCAAGAAAACCAAGTTCGGAACTATGGTAACTACAATTGAGAGGGTAACTATGTCTGGGATGGGAACTACAATTGCGACAACAACTACAACCAGAACAACTCTAGAAACAGAAACGAGAGAGTTGGGCCTTATGTTCCACCTTCAAATTGGGAATCTGGCAATAAAGAACCTGGGGTAGTATGTCATGCATTGAGGATATGATGCAGAAGATGATGAAGAGGTTTGATACGACTAATGAGAATGTGAAAGAGATGCGGAATGACTTGTCTGGAATCGATCAAAAAGTTGATGCCCATGCAGTGTCGATAAAACAACTTGAGTAGCAGTTTAATCATTTGTCCACTACTGCGAACCCACGTCTGCCTGGCACACTTCCTAGCAAAACCATCTAAAATCCGAAGAATGATGGGCATTGTATGGCAGTCACTATTCGAGGAGGTAAACAAACCATTGATCCCCATGTGTCGTATGAGGTTGAATTTGTAGTAGAATGAGATGATGATGAGATCGAGGCTACTGGAGAGTCTAAAAATACTACAGAGAAGGAGGCGGAGGTGACCCAAAAAGTTTTTTCCATGCCTAGATCTCCACCACCATTCCCATAGAAATTGGTGAAGAAGATTAAAGAAGGGAAATACCGCAGGTTCATTACTATGTTGAAACAGCTTTCCATCAATGCTCTGTTTATAGAAGCTTTAGAGCAAATGCATGGGTATGTGAAGTTTATGAAGGATTTAGTGACCAAAAAGAGGGCCGTCAATTTTGAGAATGATGAGAGGTTGCAACATTGCAGTGCTATTGACACTAGGTCACTTGTGCAGAAGAAAGAGGATCCTGGTGCTTTCACTATTCCTTGTACCGTTGGGTTATTGCATTTTGTGAAGGCGTTGTGTGATTTGGGTGCTAGCATTAATCTGATGCCATTATCTATCTACAAGAAGTTGGGATTAGGGGCTCCAAAACCGACTGCGATGCGACTAGTCATAGCCGATAGAACTGTGAAGAAGCCCATTGGGGTTCTCCAAGATGTTCTTGTGAAAGTGGAGTCGTTCATTTTTCTGGTGGATTTTGTGATACTTGATTATGAGGTCAATTTTGAGGTCCCATCATCTTAGGGAGACCATTCCTTGCTACTGGTGCGCCTTGGTCGATATGGAAAGAGGAAAGATAAAGTTCTGATTGAATAATGAAGAGGTAACTTTCAATATTTGTAGGTCTATGAAGCAGGAAAGCAATCTCGAGTCAGTATCAGTGGTGAATCATATTGTGGAGCTAGGATCTGATGTGTCTATTGAAGAGAGGTTGGGTGTTGATGCAGTGGTAGCGGTAATGATGAATTTTGAGGGTGATGGTATTGAAGACTATGATGAATTAGTTGTCGCACTTGATAGGTTTGAATTTCGTTCCAAACCAAAGAAATTAGAGCTAGATATGAAGAATCGCGACTCTCCACCCACAAAACTGTCTGTTGAAGAAGCTCTAAAATTAGAGCTCAAGGATCTACCATCGCATTTGAGGTATGTATTCTTGGGGAGAGATAGAACTTTACCGATAATCATTGTTGCTGAATTGAGTGAGGTACAAGTAGAGGCATTGGTTTCTGTGTTGAAGAGGTTCAAACGGTCTATTGGATGGACTATTGCGAACATTATTGGGATTCCTCCTGGCATTTGTTCTCATAAAATCCAACTCATGCCGGACAGCAAGCCTAGTATCAAGCACCAAAGGAGACTAAATCCGCCTATACAAGAGGTAGTGAAAAATGAAATCATCAAATTGGTTGGATGATGGAGTCATATACTCCATCGTAGATAGTAGTTGGGTCTGTCTTGTTCAGTGTGTACCTAAGAAGGGTGGGATTACTGTGGTTCCTAATACAAAAAACAAGTTTGTTCCGAGGTGGCCAGTGACTAGATGGAGAGTATGCATGGACTACCGCTAATTGAATGCTTGGACAGAAAATGATCATTTCCCTATGTCATTCATGGATCACATGCTGGATCGCCTTGCTGGTAAGGGTTGGTATTGCTTTCTTGATGGTTATTCGGGCAACAATCAGATCTTCATTGCTCCGAAAGACCAAGAGAAGACGTCCTTCACTTGTCCTTATGGGACTTTCACCTTCAAAAGGATGCTATTTGGGTTGTGTAATGCTCCAGCAACCATCCAGCGTTGCATGATGTCGATATTCTCATATATGGTGGAGGACATTATTGAGGTATTTATGGATGATTTTATTGTGGTAGGTGACTTGTTTGATGGTTGTTTAATGCATCTGGTTGAGGTACTAAAACGGTGTGAAGAGTGCAATCTTGTGCTTAATTGGGAAAAGTGCCACTTTATGGTGAAAGAGGGGATCATTCTGGGTCATCGGATTTTTGAGAAGGGTATTGAGGTTGATAGAACTAAAGTTGAGGTAATAGAAAAGCTTCTACCACCCATCTCTGTTAAAGATGTTAGAAATTTTCTTGGGCATGTAGGCTTTTATAGGAGGTTTATCAAAGATTTCTCCAAAATTGCACACCCATTGTGCAAATTGCTCGAAAAGAAGTGTAACTTTGATTTTGATTATGCTTGTCTGAGAGCATTTGGAGAGTTGAAAGCAAAGCTAGTTTCCGCACCTATCATTATTTCACCAGATTGGGGGCAACCGTTTGAAGTGATGTGTGATGCGAGTGGAGTGGCGCTTGATGTGGTATTGGGATAGAGGCGAGAGAAGATTCTTCATTCTATTTACTATGCCAGCAAAGCTCTGAATGTGACTCAAAAGAACTATACGGTGACTGAACAGGAACTCCTTGTTGTGATTTTCACATTCGAGAAATATTATCCTACTTGCTTGGTACTAAGGTCATAGTGCTTACTGACCATTCTGCATTGAGGTATCTAATGGATAAAAAGGATGCCAAACTAAGGTTGATTAGATGGGTATTGTTGCTGCAAGAGTTCGATTTTGAGGTAAAAGATAGAAAGGGGACAGAAAATCAAGTTGCCGATCATTTATCCATATTAGAGGAGGAAGCTATGCTCAAGCTAGGTGATGGGGCTGAAATTAATGATGAATTCCCAGACGAACAGGTTTTGGCTGCTTCTCCTGATCTTATTCCTTGGTTCGCAAATTTTGCTAACTACTTGGCAAGTGATTTGGTGCTATCAGATTTGTCATTCCATCAAAGGAGAAAATTTATGCATGATCTGAAGAAGTTCTTTTGGGATGAGCCTTACTTGTTTCGTATTTGTGCTGATGGGATTATTCATCATTGTGTGTCATTCATCACCTGTTGGTGGGCATCATAGTGGTATTCGGACTGCGCATAAAATCTTGCAGTGTGAGTATTACTGGCCTACCATCCACCAAGATGCTCATGATTTCGCCAAGTCTTGTGATCGTTGCCAAAGAGATGGAGGAATTTCAAAGAGGCACGAGCTACTTATGAATCTGTTATTGGTGATTGAGTTGTTTGATGTTTGGGGCCTTGACTTCATTGGTCCATTTGTGAGTTCACATGGGATGAAGTATATTCTTGTTGTGGTTGATTATGTGTCGAAATGCATGGAAGCAATTGCGTTTTCAAACAATGAGGGTAAGAGTGTCACCGCATTCCTGAAAAAGAGTATCTTCTCCAGATTTGGTACACCTAGGGCAATCATCAGCGATGGAGGTTCCCACTTTTGTAATTAGTTGTTCAAGGCATTGCTAGAGAAATATTGAGTCCGTCACAATGTAGCCACTCCTTACCATCCACAATCTAGTGGGCAAGTTGAAGTGTCAAACAGAGAGATAAAGCAAATCCTTGCAAAGACTGTGAACGCCAACAGAATGGATTGGTCAAGGAGGCTTGATGATGCACTATGGGCCTATCGCACCGCATTCAAGACTCCTATAGGTATGTCCCCCTACCAACTTGTATATGGAAAGTCATGCCATTTGCTGGTAGAGCTAGAGCATAGGGCCATGTGGGCGCTAAAGAAGTTGAATTTGGATTGGGGCACCGCATCAAGTCAAAGAGTGAATGACATGAGTGAGCTTGAGGAGTTTCTCCTAAAAGCATATGAAAGTTCAGCCTTGTACAAGGAGAAGAGGAAGAAGTATCATGATCAAAAGATTAAGAAGCGTGAATTTGTTGTGGGTGATCTGGTGCGTTTATTCAACTCAAGGTTGTGATTGTTTCCTGGCAAGCTCAAGTCCAAATGGACCGGGCCATTCCGAGTCACTCAAGTATTTCCACATGGAGCGGTCGAGCTCGAGAACAAGGAGGGAACAAGCTTCAAGCTGAACGGGCAAAGGATCAAGGTCTACATGGGGAAATTAGAGAGTGTGCAAGGTGAACGGGCAAAGGATCAAGGTCTACATGGGGAAATTAGAGAGTGTGCAAGGTGAACGGGCAAAGGATCAAGGTCTACATGGGGAAATCTTGATGAAGTCTGAGTAATCAAGGTGTCTGCGTCGTGCCGCAAAGTTAAATCAAGAGTTGCTTGGGAGGCAACCCAAGATGTACAATCTAGCCAACTATAGGTTTTTCTTTTTGATTCAAGAGTTTTCTTCTCTTTTTTTTAAAAAAATTTGTAACTCTTTAGATAGGTGTTTTATTTTTGTATTAGTGTTGGCTAGATATAGAATAGGGTCCATGTCTAAAACGTGTCCAGAAAATGAAAAAGAAAGTCCTAATGGTTGCTACGTGTATAGGGACAAAAGGCAAAATCTGCAGAAAAATAGTTGTGCAGTGGTCTACGGACCCCATCGACGGTCCGGTGGTCCATCCACGGACCGTGAATGGCGTCCGTAAACCCCAGGTAAGTGTTCTGAATTTTCTAAGTGTCAGAGTGACCTACGAACAATACATACGGTCCGTAGGTCGACCCACATACCGTAGAAGGGATCACATGAGTCCAAAAACTAGGGTTTGCCCGACCCGACTCGAACACCTTCTAAAATAAAACCTTTCATTTAAAATTCATTCCCCACGATCAAAAATCCCTCCTAACCATTTTTAAACTCTTTTTCTCCCACAATCACTCCCATTTAATCACAATATCCCACATATCAAGACCCTATTCACTTCCCCAAATCCCAAATCATCATTTTCTCTCCCAACTCACTCACCTTCATTCCCCAACGATTCCACAATCCGGGTTCGGTGTCAAAGGGCTAGCAAAGGTCTAAGGAGTCTATTGCATCATCACACTCACCCACTTTGATTACTTGTAAGGTAAACAACTTCACCCTGACGTTGAATTCACTGTTCATTGTTTGTATCATGAAGTCACGAAGTTGGAACTTGACCTTGGGTTGTTAATTTTGTGTTTGTATGTTAAATTGTATGTTATAAACACCCTTGGTATGATGGTATGTGAGTGTATAGTTAATTAAAACCAAATAATTCAAGTTAATAGGCTAAATTGGAAGTTTTGACTTAGGGTTCATAGGTTTCTGTGTGATAATCTGTAAACTTTTGTGAAATTGGAACCCTAAGGATGATTAACTACCAACTTACTTGTTGAAATTCATATGTAGGCCTAATTTGAGAAAAGGAATAAAAAAAATGAACCATCTGAAACCTGGCACAGACTGACCCACGAGACCCCGTCTACGGACCGTAGGTCATTCTACGGACCGTAGGTCGGGTCCATGGGCCAGAAGCACACAATTTTTTTTCTAAGTGTCGAACCATGGTGTGGACTACGGTCCATCGATTTCGTGGTTCCCACATCAGAAACCCAATTTTGGGTACTCTGATCTACAGAGGGACCCACAGACCGTCGTTCCATCGACAGACCGTAGGTACCAACCGTAGGTCGACAGTTCAGCTATTGTCCAGATTTATTTTAGTTTTTGTTTTGATTCATTTCTTGTTCTAAAAATTTTCAAGTGTTTTATTTGCTTGTTTTGGTACTAACTAAGCTTCCACAGATACCATGGCCCGCAAGAAAACTCCAACTTACGCCGCAAATGGCAAATCAAACTTTGTTGCTCCATCCATCAAGCTGATTGATGAGGATACAGATGTGGAGTACGTTCCACCTCCCACCAAGACTTCCCCCACTATTCCACGCACTACATGAAACCAAGCCCGGCAGGTGAGCTCTGACGTGGTCACTACCCCCGTAGTGTGAT